ATTTCATCTCCCTTCCCAAGTAATTTATTCGGATGAAATCGTCCTTCCGATCACTGGCACTTCATAGCAGGAATCGCTTCTCAACTTCTCGGTTCAATCGCATCCTACGCATCGGACCTTGCTCCATCAGGGCAACCATCAACTCTGCAGAATGAACATTCCATAAACTTTTTGTTATGAAAGATACATATAAAAAAATTATCACCTGGTTTGGCGATTTCATTTTACCCTGATAAAAAGAAATCTCCAGAAACAAAAATTCTCCTCATCAACGCTACCTCATTCAGTCCAGCATGTTCAATGGGCCGAAACATGCATCAGGTAATCTCATGAGCTTCAAATCGAATTCAAATGATGAGATTGTTGGATCAATGAATAGGGCTGAGAGGTTAAATGCTCTGCAAGTCCAGATGAATGATGAATTCCGTGCATATTCTGTGCTACAGAATGAGATTCGAATGAATTCTGGATTTCTTAGGGTTCTGACACCCGTATTTAGTGACATTTCGCTTTTAATGTTTGCAGAGTTGTATCTTCCAGTGATTATTTTGTGAATGAGAAGGATAGAAGGATGGCCGCATTAATCCTTCGTCTTTGTAATGAAGCTAAGTCCAATTCAGCACACCTGATCGAGTACGATGGAAGCACGAAGTTGTTTTCCGCTCTAGTTTTGTAGTCTTCATGCAAATAAATCACAGCTTGGCGTTGAACACTTTCGATATATTTAGTGTGTGTTGGATTTCGTGGTGCCCAGATTGACGATGTAAACTCCAGATTGGATCGTACTAATGCGAAATACAATAGTTTTGCATTGTCCAGATCAAATTTGTTCCTGCACAGTCTTTTGACGAGGTGGAGCATTGCTGTCGATTTGCGTTTGATGTATTCGTGGTGTATCGTGAAACTGAGTTTGGGGTCCATATGTACTCCCAGGTCCCGAATTTGAGTTACTCTCTTCACTTTCTGTCCGTTAATGAAATAATCATTCAAGATGGGATTTCGACGGTGTGAAAATGTCATGACACAACATTTTGAAATGTTCAGCTCTAGACCGTTTTCCTTACACCACGCTAAGAACTTGTCGATACTCTCTTGCAAAAGGATTGAGTCTTCTGGCTTGACAATGATGTGCGCTTTCTTTTTGTCGTCAGCGAAGTTAAATGAGACTGTTGGATCATCATTTGAGTCAGAGACGTTGAAAAATGCAGAGAAAAAAAGCGGACCAAGCACTGTTCCTTGCCCAACCGAAGATGGGACTTCAAATGCATCCGAAGTTGCCGACCCCACACGTACGAACTGCTTACGACCAGCGAAGTATGATTTGATCCAAACAAGTATTTGATTGCTAAGTGGGAATTTGGCCAGTTTACGAATTAGAAGAGCTTGATTTACAGTATCGAAGGCTTTCTTAATATCAGCGTAGAAAACATCCAACTGCGCTTTACGTTCGAATGCTTCATTTGCTTTAATTATAAAAGCCATCAAGTTGGTTTCAATGTTGCGATTAGACATAAAGCCGTGCTGATTGTTTGAGAGCAGCGGAGTTTTCCAACGATCCGGAAAAATTCCAGCATCCATTGATTCTTGAAAAATAATGCTCAGTGGTTCAGCTAATACATCAGCACAGTTGCGTAGAATGTGAGGAGAAATCCCGTCCGGACTTGCACCTTTATTTAGATCCATAGATTGCAGAACATTCAAAACCGAACCGAACGAACACACGACTTTGAAAAATCTTCTGTCATTTCTTTGTTGAACGAGCTGTAACAAATCCGCATCTTCTTCGTGATGAATCTAAACTGATGAGAAGAAATTGGCGAACATTTTTGCCTTCTCCCGATCCTCCGTTACAGTTGTACCCTCATATGACAATTTTTTTGGAATGGTATTGCTGGTTCGCTTGCCGTTAATGTATTTCCAAAAACGTTTCGGATCGCTCTTTGAACAGTTGGATATGTCTTTGATATGCTCATGATAATGAATTTTCTGGTATTCGCAGAAGTCAGCTTGAGCTCGTTTAAAATCACCTTCATCTGCATCTCGATTCACCTTTGGTTTATTGCCCAATTTCTTGTATTGGCGACTCATTACATTTTTTAAGTTAGTGAGCTTATTGTCATACCATATCGGTTTGTTATTCGATCTAATCGACGCTTTCGGCACGAATTTGTCAATGGCATCATAAAGAATGGCATACAGACTGTCTACCATTTCGTTGATATCAAGCATATTGTATAAGTAACTGTAGTCGATTGCACCGAAGAAATTGCGCATTTCCTCGAAATTTGCTTTCTTGAAGCAATTGATTGATTTTGTTGAAGTATTGGAATTGCCCAGTGCAGGCTCACATTCAATTGTCACTGCGATTTGGACATGGGCAGCATCGGAAATTTCCTCTGGGATGATTAACATATCAGCTTTTTCAACCAATGAGAGTTCCGGCATATTGGTGTGTATCAGATCAAGAACATTACCATATTTATTGGTTAGATTACACAATTGCGATGAGCCTCTATTCAGTAAATGATCTGTTACCCGCCTAGTGACAATTGCCTTGGCACACTCCGAATCCCCAATGATTGGCATAAGTCCCAATCCATCTTCATCATTGATCCATTTTGTGTTAGGCAAGTTCCAGTCTCCGCAGTACAAAGATATATCACCCAGTGACATTGAATCTTCGATTTTATCAATAGCTCTGAGGTGATCAATGTAAGTTTCGATTGGGGCAGTAGGTTGAATATAAAGACAATTCAAATATAAACTGCTGTTTGTCAATGAAACGCGAACACAGATGGCTTCGAGATCTTTGGTTTCATCCATGAAAAATTCATCCCCGTCTATATCCTTTCTTACTGCAATTAGGACCCCTCCACCCATGACGCATTCAATATTTGAATTACTTCTATCCTTTCGGAAGCACTTGTATTCAGGGCTCATGAATTCCGACGAGCTTTGCTCAGGGGTAAGCCAAGTTTCAGTGAATGCCAAGAAGCTATAAAAGTCTGTATTTGTTGATTGAAGAATTACATCGGTTTTATTATTATGGACTGACAAAGATACACGTTTTAATATATACGTCAGTTGACTAAAGGTGTCAACGAACACGAACAGTTCGAAAAAAAGTCGAATT